CAAACAGGTGCAGTTAATACAGGTAATGAGTGGAGAACAGGAGGGCTTCTTCAAGAAAAACTAACAGGTCTGTGAGAGCCGGAATTCTTACTGGTTGGTAGGTGATCAAATACTTATGTCATGCAATAAAATACAAATGAATTACTTAAAAATCATACATTGTGATTTTCTGGAATTTTGTTTTAGATTCCGTCTCTCACAGTTGAAGTGTACCTATGATAAAAATTACAGACCTCTACATGCTTTGTAAGTAGGAAAACCTGCAAAATCGGCAGTGTATCAAATACTTGTTCTCCCCACTGTACATACCTCATTCCCATGCACACCCCTTCTAAATGACTGTGACCGAATTCTTATACTATGTCCTGGGTCATTCTTCAATTGGAGTGGCAATTGCATCCCTCGCTTTTGCAACGATGAAAAATCACTTCAAAATTACAAATAGTTACACATCATACAGGTTTTTGTTTATATTGAACTGTTTCTGATAAAACATAATGCATGAATTCGCTGCAAACTTTTGAGGAAATAAATCGCAGCACATTTTTAATGCACCCAACTGTAGTAAATGCAGAATGTAGAAGGAGACTTCGGTCACAGCCTGTCTTTCAGGTCTTGACACTATACCCCAGCTCAGAGCCCCATCTACACATCCTATTCCATCCATCAACACATCCTATTCATCCATCCATCAACACATCCTATTCATCCATCCATCCATTAACACATCTTATTCCATCCATCCATCCATCCAGCCATCTACATATTCTAATCCATCCATCAACACATCCTATTCCATCCATCCTATTCCATCCATCCATTAACACATCTTATTCCATCCATCCATCCATCTACACATCCTATTCCATCCATCAACACATCCTATTCATCCATCCATCAACACATCCTATTCCATCCATCCATCCATTAACACATCTTATTCCATCCATCCATCCATCCATCCAACTACACATCCTATTCCATCCATCCATCAACACATTCTATTCCATCCATCCATCAACACATCCTATTCCATCCATCCATCAACACATCCTATTCCAGCCATCCATCAACACATCCTATTCCATCCATCCATCAACACATCCTACAGTGAGGGAAAAAAGTATTTGATCCCCTGCTGATTTTGTACGTTTGCCCACTGACAAAGACATGATCAGTCTATAATTTTAATGGTAGGTTTATTTGAACAGTGAGAAGAATAACAACAACAACATCCAGAAAAACGCATGTCAAACATGTTATAAATTGATTTGCATTTTAATGAGGGAAATAAGTATTTGACCCCCTCTCAATCAGAAAGATTTCTGGCTCCCAGGTGTCTTTTATACAGGTAACGAGCTGAGATTAGGAGCACACTCTTAAAGGGAGTGCTCCTAATCTCAGCTTGTTACCTGTATAAAAGACACCTGTCCACAGAAGCAATCAATCAATCAGATTACAAACTCTCCACCATGGCCAAGACCAAAGAGCTCTCCAAGGATGTCAGGGACAAGATTGTAGACCTACACAAGGCTGGAATGGGCTACAAGACCATCGCCAAGCAGCTTGGTGAGAAGGTGACAACAGTTGGTGCGATTATTCGCAAATGGAAGAAACACCAAATAACTGTCAATCTTCCTCGGCCTGGGGCACCATGCAAGATCTCACCTCGTGGAGTTGCAATGATCATGAGAACGGTGAGGAATCAGCCCAGAACTACATGGGAGGATCTTGTCAATGATCTCAAGGCAGCTGGGACCATAGTCACCAAGAAAACAATTGGTAACACACTACGCCGTGAAGGACTGAAATCCTGCAGCGCCCGCAAGGTCCCCCTGCTCAAGAAAGCATATATACAGGGCCATCTGAAGTTTGCCAATGAACATCTGAATGATTCCGAGGAGAACTGGGTGAAAGTGTTGTGGTCAGATGAGACCAAAATCGAGCTCTTTGGCATCAACTCAACTCGCCGTGTTTGGAGGAGGAGGAATGCTGCCTATGACCCCAAGAACACCATCCCCACCGTCAAACATGGAGGTGGAAACATTATGCTTTCCTACGGGGTGTTTTTCTGCTAAGGGGACAGGACAACGTCACTGCATCAAAGGGACGATGGACGGGGCCATGTACCGTCAAATCTTGGGTGAGAACCTCCTTCCCTCAGCCAGGGCATTGAAAATGGGTCGTAGATGGGTATTCCAGCATGACAATGACCCAAAACACATGGCCAAGGCAACAAAGAAGTGGCTCAAGAAGAAGCACATTAAGGTCCTGGAGTGGCCTAGCCAGTCTCCAGACCTTAATCCCATAGAAAATGTGTGGAGGAGCTGAAGGTTCGAGTTGCCAAACGTCAGCCTTGAAACCTTAATGACTTGGAGAAGATCTGCAAAGAGCAGTGGGACAAAATCCCTCTTGAGATGTGTGCAAACCTGGTGGCCAACTACAAGAAACGTCTGACCTCTGTGATTGCCAACAAGGGTTTTGCCACCAAGTACTGAGTCATGTTTTGCAGAGGGGTCAAATACTTATTTCCCTCATTAAAATGCAAATCAATTTATAACATTTTTGACATGCGTTTCTCTGGATTTTGTTGTTGTTATTCTGTCTCTCACTGTTCAAATAAACCTACCATTAAAATGATAGACTGATCATGTCTTTGTCAGTGGGCAAACGTACAAAATCAGCAGGGGATCAAATACTTTCCCCCTCACTGTATTCCATCTATCCATCAACACATCCTATTCCATCCATCCATCAACACATCCTATTCCAGCCATCCATCAACACATCCTATTCCATCCATCCATCAACCCATCCTATTCCATCCATCCATCAACACATCCTATTCCATCCATCCATCAACACATCCTATTCCATCCATCCATCAACACATCCTATTCCATCCATCCATCAACACATCCTATTCCATCCATCCATCAACACATCCTACTCCATCCATCCATCTACACATCCTATTCATCCATCCATCAACACATCCTATTCCATCCATCAACACATCCTATTCCATCCATCCATCTACACATCCTATTCCATCCATCCATCTACACATCCTATTCATCCATCCATCAACACATCCTACTCCGTCCATCCATCTACACATCCTATTCTCATTTAATTATTTTAAACTCTTTGCACTTTTTGTCACTTTTCTCCCTAGAATTTGTTTGATAATGGCCAGATGTTCTAAACCTTTGACTACATTAGAAGTTTGCACCACGTTTTAAAGAGGGAAATTAAAAATGGAACTCAAGGCCAACCCATTTAATTGCCTGTTTAATTTTTCATTTATTTAGACTTTTTAGTTTAGTTTTATTCTTTAAAAAAATTTGAGACCAACATTGAACCGGTGCAAATCTTAGTAAATTGGTTCCTAGTATTTGTCCCAGTTTTATTATTATTAATATTATTATTATTATTATTGCCACACAAGTATATAGGTAACTGACAAACCCAGTCATCATGACACATTCAAGTACTTGCAGAGAGGAAAACAAAACACATAGGCTACTATTCATGTCTTTATTTTCAAAAAATACATTCTCTACAAAATATCAGTGTGCTTTTGTTTTGAATGAGAAATCTTTCTGATTTCTGCGTTTCATATCCAAATCATCCCAAAGTGTTTAAAATGTATTGTGTAGCTCAATAAAGTTAGTTCAAGATGATTGATGAAATACAAAAACATTTGAAATCAGGGATATTCAGTTGCATTGGTTTTGTGTCATAAGTGCTAAAAAGTTAGCATTTAGAGACAGTGGCCAGGTAAACAAAACCAAAGCATGGGTAAGGGTAGCCTTGTCACGAACCAGGCTTCCCTAGAACTCCAAGGAAGGTTTGACAACGATGTGATTTTGGAGGTATGGCAAAGCGAGACTAGGGTAAGGAAACTAATGTCATTTTGTAATTTAATATTAAAGCACATGTTCACACCCTTGCCCTAGGGAAACCTAGACAATGGTTTAGGTGACTGTAAATTTAGTTGCTATAATTACTATTTCTGACACATTTTATGTTAAATTTAAGCGTTCCAAATGACAGAGGATTCAGTTACTTGGATAGCCTTGGATCTTGGATAACCCTGTCTCTATGTAACATGTTGTGCCACCACTATTTTCCCCCTCAATGCCTGTGTCAGAAAGAAGCTCCATCATGATCCGAGTGTTGAGAGTGCTTGAGCGATAGATTTGGGCAGCTGTCTAATACTACCAAGCTATACCTTTGAGGGCTTGAATCAGGTGATACTAAAGGGAGCAATACACAGAGATAAACTATCTTTATGGAAACAAACGGCCATCTTGTTTTATAATATTCTTTCATACATTACATCATATAATCTTATTTCATACATTTCATACATTTCATACATACATGTTTGCTTCATTTGGTCCTCTGAAAGACACCCGTTTATGGAGTCTGAATTGCATACATTAATTCAAGGGCCAAAATCTGTTGGTATGGTAAAACCCATCAGTGCAGATTTTATTATCATCTGGTGTGATTTCTCTGTTTGAACTTTTTAGTAAGGAGTTTGACACTCATCCAAGGGATTCCACATGGACTCAAATGTTTCCAGGCAGGCTATCATTAAAGCCGTTCAGTGCATGACAGGAGTCTAATATAGTCTACCCAGTTGCATATACAGCTTAGATTTACACTGCTGTATTTAACGGCATAATGAATGAATAAGAAATGAAAAACTATTAGAGGTGTGGCATCATCCTTTTCGGTTTATCCCCTTTTCATTGGCTTCCTGCCCACTAGTTTTCCAATCTGCCCGTCATAGGATTCATTCCACTTAATTTACTTTATCTGATTTTTAAATGTTAGTAATTTACCAGATGCTCTTATCCAGAGTGACTAACAGTAGTGAGTGCATACATTTTCATAAATGTTCATACTTTTTCATACTGCTGCAGAGTCATTTTGATAGATTTCAGTGACTGGAGGATGAAAAAAGCTTCCCTCCCCTTTTCCATGCTATGGCAGCTTCAGCCAATGTGGGCAGGTTGTTGGGGATTGCGCTCTACTATACTCGGATAGCAGCCAATGGACGTTAACACTGCTGCCTGCGTACTCCTTGTTACAAACACGTTCCCAGTTGTTCTCTCCTCTATCCCTCCTTCAGCTTGCCAGAGGATAAAGATATTCCTTCCCTCATGCATGTTGGCTTCCTTACTGTTGCGCTGGGCAAAGTCAGAGGGCTGTGAGTGAACGTGCTGAATGAGTGAGTGTGCTGTATCCAGGCAAACAGGAGACAGGAAAGCAGCCCCCAGTGTGAGACAGACTAGTAGTAGCAGAGAAAGGAGGATAGAGGAGCTGAAGCACAACAGAGAGGTATGTGTGCTAGGCAGCTGTGTGTGTGTGTGTGTGTGTGTGTGTGTGTGTGTGTGTGTGTGTGTCTGTGTGTGCCTGTGTGTGTGCGTGTGTGTGTGTGTGCCTGTGTGTGTGTGTGTGTGTGCCTGTGTATGTGTGTGTGTGTGTGCCTGTGTATGTGTATGGGAAAGAGAGGATAATTATGAATGAAAGCTCTGCAAGTTGATGTGTGTGTATGCATTGCTTTGTTCTCTGCATGCTGTGTTGTAATGAAGAGTATAGGACCCAACATTTGTTTTACTCCAGGGACTAATGTTTAAGTGGAGCAAAACAAGATTAGACAAATCTCAAATTAAGACGGTAGACTTGGCATCTTTGTCAAACTATACAAAGCTTGAGGAATGGATCATTTTACAATTTCTAGACACACTCAAAAAGGTTTTTCTAAAGATGACACTACTCTGTTGACACATTACAAGACCTGTTTTAGAACCTTATCTAGTTACAGCACCGTATCTTTCTCTCTCTCTCTCTCTCTCTCTCTCTCTCTCTCTCTCTCTCTCTCTCTCTCTCTCTTTCTCTTCTCTTTTCTCTCTTTCTCTCTCTTTCTCTCTCTTTCTCTCTCTTTCTCTCTCTCTCTCTCTCTCTCTCTCTCTCTCTCTCTCTCTCTCTCTCTCTCTCTATCTCTCTCTCATCGCTCTCTCTCTCTCTCTCTCTCTCTCTCTCTCTCAATTCAATTCAATTTCAATTTAAGGGCTTTATTGGCATGGGAAACGTATGTTAACATTGCCAAAGCAAGTGAAGTAGATAGTAAACAAAAGTGAAATAAATATTAACAGTAAAGAATAAAGACATTTCAAATGTCATATTATGTATATATACAGTGTTGTAACAATGTGCAAATAGTTAAAGTACAAATGGGAAAATAAATAAACATAAATACGGGTTGTATTTACAATGGTGTTTGTTCTTCACTGGTTGCCCTTTTCCTGTGATGGCACACTGTGGTTTTTCACCCAGTAGATAAGGGAGTTTATCAAAATTGGGTTTGTTTTCGAATTCTTTGTGGATCGCTGTAATCTGAGGGAAATATGTGTCTCTAATATGGTCATACATTTGGCAGGAGGTTAGGAAGTGCAGCTCAGTTTCCACCTCATTTTGTGGGCAGTGTGCACATAGCCTGTCTTCTTTCTCAATAGCAAGGCTATGCTCACTGAGTCTGTACATAGTCAAAGCTTTCCTTAAGTTTGGGTCAGTCACAGTGGTCAGGTATTCTGCCACTGTGTACTCTCTGTTTAGGGCCAAATAGCATTCTAGTTTGCTCTGTTTTTTTGTTTGTTCTTTCCAATGTGTCAAGTAATTCTCTTTTTGTTTTCTCATGATTTGGTTGGGTCTAATTGTGTTGTTGTTGTCCTGGGGTTCTGTGGGGTCTGTTTGTGTTTATGAACAGAGCCCCAGGACCATCTTACTTAGGGGACTCTTCTCTAAGTTCATCTCTCTGTAGGTGATGGCTTTGTTATGGAAGGTTTGGGAATCGCTTCCTTTTAAGTGGTTATAGAATTTAACGTCTCTTTTCTGGATTTTGATAATTAGCGGGTATTGGCCTAATTCTGCTCTGCATGCATTATTTGGTGTTTTACGTTGTACTCTCTCTCTCTCTCTCTCTCTCTCTCTCTCTCTCTCTCTCTCTCTCTCTCTCTCTCTCTCTCTCTCTCTCTCTCTCTGTCTCTCTCTCTCTCTGCACTTCAGTATTACAATGCCTGAATAATGTCATATCAACACTGAGAATTGTCTTCCTGCTGGTTCAATGCACATTGTTATCTCTCTCATTGAAGGGACAGCTCTGCCAGCCAAGCCTGTGTGAATCTGCTCTTATTCTCTGCAGTCTCAGGGGAAGCACCTCACATGTGTCTGGGAAGAAATTGGCTTTAAGACTCAGATTCCCTCTTTGGATGATTCGTGTAGTAATATTTTGTATACAACCTTTTGATTATACCTGTTCATCTGGATGATGAACTCTCTCCGTCCAAAGGTTAGTCTGATTGACTGGGTCATGCGCTCTCAGTCCTGCCTAGCTGACCGCTGTACCGAGGTATGGGTGGGCTTTAGGCTGAAGTGAGTCATTAGCTTCATTGCTGCAGAGGTGACTGCTGTAGCAGTGTTTCAGTACAGGGATAGTTCACCCAAATATAATAATAAATTGACTTTGACACACATACATTTTTTGTTTTACCCCCTTTTTCGATCTTGTCTTATCGCTGCAACTCACCAATTGGCTCAGGAGGCGAATGTTGAGTCATGCGTCCTCAGAAACAACGTTTCTTAACACCCGCCCGCTAAACCCGGAAGCCAGCCGCACCAATGTGTCGGAGGAAACACCATTCAACTGACGACTGAGGTCAGCCTGCAGGCGCCCGGCTCACCACAAGGAGTTGCTAGAGCGCGATGAGCCAAGTATAGCCCCCCTGGCCAAACCCTCCCCTAACGACGCTGGGCCAATTGTGCGCCGCCCTATGGGACTCCCGATCACGGCCGGTTGTGACACAGCCCGGGATTGAACCCGGGTCTTTAGTGACACCTGTAGCGCTGCGATGCAGTGCCTTAGACTACTGCGCCACTCGGGAGGCCCACACACATACATTTTTATATGGAAATAAAATCATCCATTATAATATTTTTCTCAAAATAATACATGCATCAATCAGTACATACACTACATGACCAAAAGCATTTGGACACCTGCTCGTCGAACATCTCATTCCAGCATTATGGGCATTAATGTGGAGTTGGTTCCCCTTTTGCTGCTATAACAGCCTCCACTCTTCTGGGAAGGCTTTCCACTAGATGTTGGAACATTGCTGCCGGGACTTGCTTCCATTCAGCCACAAGAGCATTAGTGAGGTCGGGCACTGATGTTGGGCGATTAGGCCTGGCTCGCAGTCGGCGTCCCAATTCATCCCAAAGGTGTTCGATGGGGTTGAGATCAGGGCTCTGTGCAGGCCAGTCAAGTTCTTCCACACCAATCTCGACAAACCATTTCTGTATGGACCTCACTTTGTGCGCAGGGGCATTGTCATGATGAAACAGGAAAGGGCCTTCCCCAAACTGTTGCCACAAAGTTGGAAGCACAGAATTGTCTAGAATGTCATTACATGCTGTAGCGTTAAGATTTCCCTTCACTGGAACTAAGGGGCCAAGCCCGAACCATGAAAAACCACCCCAGACCATTATTCCTCCTCTACCAAACTTTACAGTTAGCACTATGCATTGGGGCAGGTAGCCTTCTCCTGGCAACTGCCAAACCCAGATTCGTCCGTCGGACTGCCAGATGGTGAAGCGTGATTCATCACTCCAGAGAACGCCATGGAAACCCATTTCATGAAGCTCCCGACGAACAGTTCTTGTGCTGACGTTACTTCCAGAGGCAATATGGAACTCTGTAGTGAGTGTTGTAACCGAGGACAGATGATTTTTATGCGCAACCCGCTTCAGCATTCGGCGGTCTCGTTCTGTGAGCTTGTGTGGCCTACCACTTCGCGGCTGAGCCGTTGTTGCTCCTAGACATTTCTACTTCACAATAACAGCACTTACAGTTGACCGGGGCAACTCTAGCAGGGCAGACATTTGACGAACTGACTTGTTGGAAATGTGGCATCCTATGACGGTGCCACGTTGAAAGTCACTGAGCTCTTCAGTAAGGCCATTCTACTGCCAATGTTTGTCTATGGAGATTGCATGGCTGTGTGCTCGATTTTATACACCTGTCAGCAACGGGTGTGGCTGAAATAGACGAATCCACTAACTTGAAGGGGTGTCCACATACTTTTGTATATATGGTGTATTTTACATAGTAATACATATTGTACATACATCATCAATCAATATAAAGAAGTAGAAAATATTGGTTCTGTCCATTTGAAATGTAAGCATTTTAATTTGTTGCTCTCTCTTTGTTTACTGATGCACACTAAATGTCACCATAATCCTTTAGGGATACATCCTAAATGGCACCCTATTCCCTACACAGTGCACTACTTTTGACCAGGGCCAGCCTAGGTTACTGTTCTGAACAGATTCTCCTCGCTTTCCTTTGCAATGTAGAGTGTAAAACAGAACGTTATTGTAATCCTGGGTGTTGTTGTCTTTCCCTTGCAGAGTACGGGCGTTTCGAGGCCAAAATCCATGATCTGCGGGAACAGATGATGAACCATAGCATGAGCTCTGGGTCCGGATCCCTCCGAACCAATCAGAAACGCTCCCTTTACGTCAGGTGGGTCTCTTTTGGACTCAGTAAAAGTCATCCTGAGTAGATGGCATTTAACGTAATAATTATATAATAGCATGTCTCCCTCTGTTACCCTCACAGGGCACTGTTTGACTATGAGAAGGCCAAAGACAGTGGACTCCCTAGCCAGGGCCTCAGCTTCAGGTATGGGGACATCCTCCACGTCATCAACGCCTCAGACGATGAATGGTGGCAGGCCCGGAGGGTGACCCCTGATGGGGACAGCGAAGAGATGGGGGTCATCCCCAGCAAGAGGAGGTGAGTGGTGGATTTGCTCAACTAAACTTCACAGTGCTTAACCAAAAGGTTAGCTTCTGGGGGACAGTGGACTTTACGTCCCTACCTTTTTGCAAATTTGCATGAGTGGCTGAAAGAAAACATTTCTTGATTCCTGTTCCCACAACAAAATTAACATTTGTTGTATCATTTTACAGCAAGAAAAACATAATTTTACGCCAGCTACTTTTAAATTAGACTTATGTGAGAGATTATATAGGTTTACTGTCTCCAAGCCTACATCATTTAGTTACCAGTCCATTTAACCCATCTCAAGTTCAAAGATGCAATAGGTGTGGTAGGCCAGGGGGTGCTGCTGCACCTGCATGTGACAACTGAGTGAAACCACACAAAGATGACAAGCACAAACATTGTTTTAAAACAAATCAATTCAAGCAGAGAGCATTGGAGAAATGGAAAATTCACTCTAGGATGACTGTTTGTGTCCATGTGTCTCTGTCCTGGCACTGGCAGGGTTGAGAGGAAAGAACGAGCACGTCTAAAGACAGTGAAGTTCAATGCCAAACCTGGAACCATCGATTCAAAAGGGGTAAGTGCTAAGATCTTATACTAAGGACTGGCAAGCCAACTTAACTTTTGAAAGAAGACATTTTCTGAAATGGAAGTGGTTGTAAACCCATATATCAATTAAACTCCTTTGTGATATGAAGTAGAGAAAGTAGCCTCTAAACCTTTGTTTTTGTCTTAATTCACGTGAAATGTGGATGTGGAACGGTACCAAGAGCAACTTTCAGATTTCCTGTCAGATTTCTGAGATTTACGTCTCAGCTTTCCCCTCGCATTAGGAGAAGTTGTGATAGTAATTTATGGCCATCTACAGTATTAGCCCGAGGTCTCTCTGCCTGAGTGGCAAAGACATCACCACATCTCTGCAGGCAGCCCCATCTCCCTGACAGCTTTCCCTCACAGCCCTGACCCTAAAGTAACATTATATAATTAGATTTTTTTTATGAAGCATTAGAGCCAATTTTTTCCATTAATGTCATAACGGTCCCCGGCCCAACCTCTGGAGAAGTCTGCACCATACTTCCTTCGAACTCTTTGTCCATTTTGGACATAACAGCAGGACATTTGACCATGTTCATCAGTGTTTTTGCCTCCCTATGTTACAAGTAAAGAGTATATTTTGTGTTGTATTCGCTGCACTCTTACTAAAAAGGGTTCCAAAAGGTTTTGGAGGGTTCGATCATACAAATGTATTTAAATGTTTAATTGATGCCCATCTTCACATTTCTCAAAAATAAAAAATACATCTGAAAAATTGAAAAGTTGTACTGACATTTTGCACAATTATAGCTAAAATTATGTCCCCAAGCTTCCAGTAAAGAGATACACAACTTCCCCTTGGATTATAGCTGAACTATACCTATTTTATCCTCCCAACAGGCTAACATCTCTTGATTAGGTCTCCAGGTGTTGAACTAAGGTCGCTATAGTCTATGAACAAGAAGGTCCACTTTTTTATTTATTTATTTATTTGCCTCACTATAATAATAATATCTGTTTAACATTTAATTACATTTGTATGGTCTTAGTGTTCTACCCAGAACCCTTTTCATCTGAATAAGCTTGATATGTCTGTTGGGCAAGTATCCATGGCAATGTCATAACCAGCTCTAAGAATGTGTTGGGCTAGTAAAGCAGACTTTTGAAACATGAAATGGTCACTGTATTTTGATGTGGCTCTAGGCCAAACTTTCAGCACTAATGGGCTAAGAAGCAGGATATCTCAAGCTGTTGTGTCGATACAAAAATCCCCTTACAGTTAGTGACTTAAATAACTGATCAGGTTTAAATCCCTAAGGGGGAATACTTATTATAGGCTGCATGCATTAGTTACAGCATGTCCTTTACAACTTTGATTAATAGCAATAGGTAACTCTAAGTGTGCGTCACAAATGATATCCTATTCCCTATATAGTGCACTATATTTGACCAGAGCCCTATAGGCCCTGATCGAAATTAGTGCACCATAGGGGAATATGGTGCCATTTGGGACACCGCCTTAGTCACATGAGATGAGACTCATTTGGTGTGTTACCCACACAGAACTATCATGATTTGTAGAAATAGTACATTTTGAGCACACATTGCATTAGTAGCATTGCTGTATCCTTCTCAATTGTAAACTCATATGATAGTCTGTCACAGATGTTACCAACGTTAACAAATATGCTAGTATGTCAATCCTTAGGAGACCACTGTGTAAGAATCACGACCACTGTGATACGTGTTACAGCCTACATCTCACTAGTAAATACAATTCTCAACTTTTATGCACACCTTAATCCACCCACAGTTATTGCAGATGACAGTTAGTTATTTCAGCTGACAGTTATTTCAGCTGACAGTTATTTCAGCTGACAGTTACTTCAGCTGACAGTTAGAGCCAAATGTATCAGACATGCACAGTTGAGGCTGCTATTGAACCAGTTTCAATGATCATTGCTGGTTTAAAGATTATACCTTTAGAATCGGATTTATGAAGCACATGTATGCAAATGAGTATTCGCCGCAAATAAACATCACAACTGCTATTCCTTCTTTCTCCTCCACGCCGCCTACTAGCTTCTTAAACAGCGCTATGCACAACTTCTCTCCTTTAATTTTGTTTGTTTATAATTTAACACACACAACATTTGATCAATCTGACCCCTTCGTATTGTAATTATTTATATGTTTGTTCAGTTAGGATTTTATATCTTCACAAGCATATCTAAATATATAGTTTTAGGCAACAATGACATGATTTATTTCAGCCATGGCATGGGATCTCATCCCTCCACCTCCCAAAGTTTTAACCTGCATGATTGTTGGACATCATTTGTGTCACAGCCATGTTCCTAATGTCATAGCATGATGCTGTTAACGTCTTTGCTGCATGGCATACCACATATCGGCATTTTTTTGACATGTGTTCTGTTATTTCATTTTATTTTCAAGTGTTTGAGAATGTCTCGGGTGCAATTATGCACATGAAGTAAATGATGGCAAATTATTACTGCGTAGTTCTTCTCTCTCACACATTGAGTCATTTTGACAGTGTTATTGTCGAACAGCCTCTTTATTACAAATCACATCTGTAAAACAAAATGAGAGATTTGTGAAATGTCATGATTAATTCATGATAATTTGTATTAGCTAAATCAACATATTTCTAAATGATTAGGTTATAATTCAACCCCGCTTTGATGGATGAATCAGCTAGTGTAATGTATGTACTGTAATGTCAGTCCTGTGATGTCAGTCATGTAGTCCATTTTTGGTGACCACGCCATCATTTCTTCATGTCCCACATATTGCAGCTAGTTGGTTTGTCAGCATGAATATGACAACAATTAGAGCTCCCTGTTTGCCCCACCCCATGCTTTCTTTCCTCCACAGTCATTCAATGACAAGCGTAAAAAGAACTTCATCTTTACACGAAAGTTCCCATTCTACAAGAACAAGGAGTTGGGTGAGCAGGATGGCAGTGATTCAGAACGTAAGTAGGCTTGAACACACACACACTGACACAGGTACACACACTGACACAGGTACACACACTGACACAGGTACACACACTGACACAGGTACATATAGGTGATATATAGGTTGTCGAGACGTGTGCAGGGATAGGGTTTTCATGGCGGTCCCCCTCCTATCTTTTTTTCTTCTCTCTCCTTTGGCTCTGGTGCAGTGATGGCGTCTGGGTGCTCAGGTCAGGATCAACACTGAGCAGTCACCAGTGGTCCCTCAAAAACTACCGCGGCACTCACAAAGTGGCCCAATATTCCCCCGTTATCTGTTATGACCGGTTCAGGCTGGTCGGCTTGTGTCTGAACTGAGACAGATGATCTGAGCTCGGCTAACTAATCTTGCCTTTCAGGATTTCACAGTTTCCCCTCTTTAATGCCACTTACCTCTTCCTTCCACCTTTCTGGCTATCCCTGCCCTTTCTCCTTGTCTTTGCTCTCTTGGGACGGCCATGTAGGACATCCCAGGAATAGGTGACGACGGGTATGGGACGAAGACGCTGAGTAAGTTGGTTGAGGAATGGTCCTGTCTGTACAGTCAAGCAACACTTCCCTCCCCCCAACACATTTCCCTTTTTACTTTATTTTTTGTTCCCTTATTGACTCGTTTTGATAGCCTGTTTGCATGCTTCAGTATGACGTCTCAGTTTGGGTCCTGATTGTCTTGATTTCTGTCACCTCCCATCCTAACTCTATGACATGTTTGCAAGACACAAAAATGGAAAGACATAAAGTTTTTGAGTTTGTCTGGAAATACATGTTGTGTTTTTACCACGCAACTAGTCTGTTCATAGTCTCTTTCTATAACAGACACAGCTGTTTGGGTGTACTCTTGGGCAGCTGAATGTGATCAACTATTTTTAGGCCAGCATGCTGAGGTGTTCGTACTGTCAGTGTTGTGTATATTTGTGCTTTTTAATTATTTCACATATAGTACATTTTGAATGTTCGCTGTAATCTATGATCCATGATATTCCTCTATTTTGATGCATTGTTGAATCCTATGAAAATATGAGATGTAAAGTGGAAGGGAAAAGTGCTCTTGCCTCCCATTTCTTGCTAGCTACAGTAGTCTCGTAGGCCTTTACAGTCGTACCCGTGTACTGGTTAAAAATGACATATTTGGGCACTAATAAGCAGGGTTTGTAACCAAAAATATCAACCACAATTTTTTTGTTCCGTTTCACTGTTCTGACCAGCAAAATAAAGTTCTGAACCGGTTCGAACCCCCAAAAAGTACTGGGTTATATCATTCCTTTCTGTTCCTTTTTTAACCTGTGAAATCAACAGTTTTTTACATTTAGCTCATTAAATTACTTCCCCAATCAGTGCGAATAGATCAGGCAAGCTAGTTGTTCACATGCGTGATGGACAGACAAGTGTAGCCTATGGCGCAAGATGCGACTGAAATTTTGCGAGAGAGGGTTGATGAGGAGGCTTAAAGTGCTGG